GGGCCATTTTAAAACTCACAATAATATGGTTTACTATCTTGAGAATGAAAAATTAAAGAAGAATGGTGTCACCGGCATTGACCAAAAGAACATTTCAAAATCTATCTAGAAGTACAGCGCTGTCAGTGATAAGATCATAACCTGCTAGTAAGACGACTATTCAAATTTACAAACCAACCACTAAAGACGTAGCATGCCAGGGGAGGAAAAGGGTAAAAGATGGAGGCTGCAGGTTTGTCTGACCTCTTCTTTGTAGCAATCAACCTTGGACAGACGTGGAGAGGGGTTCTTCTTTCCCCCGTGCAGCCCAAGGAGGTGAGATGTGGTCTCAGCACCTTGTTTGCAGTGCCAGTGGAGGTTCTATAGTCTTCTGTAGTGGCTCCCTCTGCTTTTAGTAATACTCTTTTTCTCCAGAGAGGTCCTGACCCTTCTGCCCATCAGAACTTTCCACACTCCATCCTTTTAATATAGAACCCTAACTCTAGCCAATTGGTCTAGTGATCTACTTTAGACAAGAAGATTCTGTCTAAATTTTAGCAATTGCCTTCCATGACAACTCAAACACAGAAGTGGGTTCAATGATATCTGGCAGTGGAGGAGAGATAGGGAGTCATATCTGATACTTTGCTGGCACATGTGGTAATTGCCTACCCATCTCAGGTCACCGAATCCTTCCAATTGATAGTTACCCACCTCTGGGCACTTTCGAATATGCACACATGGATTACCTTCTTTGCAGAAGAGTGGAATCATTACCAGATATTAGGAAGAAATGTGTCCAGGCAATGGTTGTGTTTTCTTAAAGGCAACTTGCCGATGAAGTAGACCTGTGTTAGATGTGTGAGTGATGCAAACTCATCTTAGAGAAAAAAATCTTTTGTTAAAGGGGAATCAACTCTTTTAATACACCACTTCCTAAAGGATAATTATAGGATAATTCAATATCTATAGAGACACAAAGTAGCCCTACTGGAACACTGGGTTTTGTGTTGGGCTGCTAACCTCAAGGCAGATGGTTCAAATCCATCAGCCACTCAGGGAAGAAAGAGGAGCCTGTCTGCTCCTATAAAGATTTACAATCTTAGAAATCCTTAAGGAGCAATCCTACTCTGTCCTATAAGGTCATGATGAATAGGACTCACCTCGAGGTTTGGATTGGTTTGGCCCTATTGACTCAAAAAACCCTAGTGGTGCAGTAGCTGAACTCTCTACTGCTAACTAAAGGGTTGGTGGTTTGCACTCATCAGCCACTCTGTTGGAGAAAAACGAGACAGTCAACAGATTCTGTAAAGCCTTAAAGCATAGGAAACCCTGTGGGGCAGTTATACTCTGTTCTATAGGGGCATCCTGAGTTAGAATTGACTAGATGGCAGAAGGTTTGGGTTTCTATAGACATTACCAATGCAGACTGGGTAAATTCAGTATAATAGTACACTTTGCAGCATTCTGACAAAAGAACAAATAAATCTGTCTTGGAAGAAGTACAGTCAGAATGCACCTTAGAGGCAAAGACGGAAAGACTTAGTCTCATGTACTTTGTTGTCAGGAGAGATGAGTCCTTGGAGAAGGACATCATACTGGATAAAGTCGTAGGGTGGAAAAAAGAGGAAGACCTTTGATAAGACGGACTGACACAGTGGCTGCATCGATGGGCTCAAACATAAAAACAGCTGTGCAGATGGCACAGGACTGGGCAGTGCTAAGTTCTGTTGGGCACAAAGGGCTATGATGAGTCTGAACTGATTTGATGGTACCCAAGCACATGAACAATCGCAGTATTTAACCTGTAATTTTCAAAATATTCCTTTTTGTAAGTACTTAGATATTTGAGCTGACATGCTAGATTCCACCCACCTTTTCTCTTGTCTGCTCTTGGGCTGAAACAATTTGGGGTTATCTAGTAAATACACATATGAAATCAGTTTGTTATGAACATCACATGCTTCCCTTTGGGATAGAATGAATCTAGAACCAGGAGTCAGGCATGGAGCTGAGTGTGAGGGTCACAGAAAAGTCAGCACACCCTACGTCTAGCTTGCTTCCTCTCTGAAACATGACCTCTTGGTTGCTGGTAGGAGTTCTGGTAGCACAGCAATTAAGTGCTTGCCTGAGAACAGAAAGGTTGCGATGTGCCTCCACCAGCCATACCATGGGAGAAAGATAAGGCAGTTTTTGCTTCTGTAAAGGTTTATCCACCAGCTATTCTATGGGCGTAAGATGCGGCAGTTTTGTTTCTGTAATGGTTTATGGCCTTGGAAGCCTTTGGGGGCAGTTCAAGTCTGTCCTGTAAGGTTGCTGGGAAATCAATGTGAGCTCGAGGAGTTTGGCTGTGAGTGATTACTATGGTTCTTCCTGGTGAGAAATCTGATAAGAGGTATGATACTTACTTTGAGTCTGACATTCCTTAGAAAACCAAGAAAGGAGCATGGGTGGCCTAGTGATTAAGCACTTAGCTAATAACAGTGAGGCTGCCCTTTGAACCCACTCAGTGACTCTGTTGGGGACAGACCCACAGGTCTGCTTCTGCACAGATTACAGCCCAGGAAACTCTATGGGGCAGTTCCACTCTGTCACACGGGGACACTATGAATTGAAAATCAACCTGACGGCACCAAATAGCAATAGCAAACTGAGAAGAGAAAGCTGCTGATCATATGACCAATTATTTAACCCAATGATCCAACACAATGCCAAAGAAGCACTATGTCATTTAGTTTTGTCTAATTAGAAGCCAATTGCTAATTCCTTCCAGCTATCTCAAAAGGTGGATTTGTATTCATAAAGAAGACTAGATAATTGAGGGTAGAGGGGTCTTTGAGAAGTTGACACATCTCAGTAGAGATCATTGACAACAGAACAAAAGGAAGACCACCAATGTGCTGCCTGTTTCTAACAGTGTCCTGTCTCCAACTGGGGCATCAAGAGAGGTTTTGTTCCTTCCTCACATAAGCCTCCCTCTTTATCTGAAATGCTTGGGGCCTAGTGTTTGTTGAAACGATTTTGATTCCCAGATTTTAGAAAGATAATTAAATGCATGTACTGTATTGCTTATTTCACAACATTCTCAGCAGGACCTGGGTAACTACATCATACTGAAGTACAGTCTATCTGCATAGAGTAGAATAAATAAATACTGTAATCAGCCCTAAGTCTGTTCAGAACAGGTTTTGCACACCCCACAAAAAACCCCAATCCCCCCCGCCCCAAACAACCAAACCACTCCAAAAACCAAGCAAAAAACTAACAACTAAATAAAAACAAAAATGTTTGAGTTTTAAAGATTTTTAGTTTTGGAATTGGAAATAGGTATTGTGGGTTTACATCTGCTGTGGTTTCAAATCACTCAGTATTCTATTTCTATTTTCAAGTATTACTACCTTCATTGTGCTATCCATCTTTTCCATTATTGGCCTAAATCATTGTCTCTCACATTTAAATTGCTACGTGTGATTTTGATACTCGTTTGACACGATAGTAGTTTGACACGATACTCCTGGTTGCTTAGTGATTTTATTATTTCTGGTTATGGTAACCTTTCCTAAGGCTCCGCTTTTGCTTTTAGACAATTGCACTTGACCTTGTGCCTGGCACTGAGAGAGAGCTGGCATCCATCAACAAGCTTCCTTTCACTCGGAGATAGAGAAACAGAATGTGACTGAAGCAAAAAGGCTCTGGAATAGAGGAATAACTGAAGAGCCATGCTCAATATCCAGCTGGGATTTAGGGAAACTTTTAGATTGAGGTTAGGGATAGCTCATCAGGACTTCTCACCTTTACTTTCTTTCCCCTTCATTTTGAGTCGTTCTGCTGAGGACATCAAGCCCAGGCAAATCTGGGGGACTGAGACAGACACCTGAGCCCACCACTTGGCTAGGTCACAGCAGAACCTTTGATTGCCATTCCCACCAAGCCTGAGAAAAAGGTTTGGATGGGAAAACACATTCCAAGACGGGCAATGAGCCTGCTGTTACCGGCCACAGGAACGTGAACAGACTGCTGATGGAACTGAGCCACACCCCCCAAAACGGAGTTCCCTACCGATTATAAACACATTTTCAGGATGCTATTTTGAATCCTTGGCTTTCTGTTGTTAGTTGCCATCGAGTTGATTCTGTCTCATGGGGACCCGCCCACGTGCAGTCAGCTTATTCCGGAAGGTTTTCAGGGCTGTGACTTGTCAGAAGCACATCACTAGACCATTCTCACAAGGCTTTTCCTGGTGGGTTTTAACAGCCAGCCTTTGGTTCAGTGGTCAAGCGCTTAAGCATGTGCTCCATCCAGTGTCTCCGTTTTTTGGAACCCTAAAGGCATCGCTGTTATGTGTTAGGCTGCTAACTGCAAAGTTAGCAGTGCAAAACCACCAACGCTCCATGGGAGAAAGACGGGTCTTTCGACACCCATCAATGAGAGGTACAGTCTTGGAAGCTCACAGGGGCAGTTCTGCCCTGGTCTGCAGGGCTGCTATGAGTTGGCAGTGAGTGAGGACCTCCTTTCTTGGACTTTTAAAGGCATGCCAAGTATTGTTTTTCAGACTGTCCTATTTCAAAATGTACTCCATCCCGTGTAAAGGTTTGTTGCTTTCCTCCAGATGCTGAGCACAGGGGTCTGGGCTGCTTATCATCAGACTATATTCGTCTTGGTAGAATTCAGAGTTGCTTTTAAAGTGATTATTTAACAAGGAGCATCTCCTACTAAGGCAATACCAACTCGTGACAGTTAACACTAGACATCACTTCAACAATTAGTAATATATTTTACCTACATCTACATAAAATAGCAATAATATACCACATGGATCAAGAACCAAGACAATATAGAAGGTAAGTGAATATGGTCATCATTACTTCATTTAGTACTTGAAAATTTTAAAAGAATATTGCCCAAATCCATAGGTTCTATGTTTCCTTAAGTTACTCTTCAAATTTTAATCGGTTTTTACAGGCAATCACTGATGTGTGCATACATCTAAGTTTAAATGGTTGATGGTATACATTTCTTACCTGATATTCATATTCTGTGAAAGGCAAAAGTTCTGAATCAAGAAAGTAGCTTGCACTTCCATTATAGGTTAGGACCAGATTTGACTTTCCGAGCTGTGCCACTATTTGTCTTCTGTACAATTCATAGTATAACATTTTCCCATTTGGCTGAAGTGGCCCCGTCCACAAGAGAGAAATGGTGGGCTGGAATCCTCCGGGAGCCATCTGTGCCTCAAGGTGGGGAGCAGGTTGCACCAGCGGTGGAGCTTCAGGAGTCTCTCTGGATGCCCAGTCACTAGATGCACATCCTAGCATGGTGCATGCTTGAATGCGGACCTCATACCTGGAGGACACAAGGCAGAAACGACTATAGCAGCACAATAGATTTTCCTTGGAAGAATATGTAAAAGCCAAATGGCATTCAGAAAAAAAGAGAACTGTTATTTATATATAAGAAACGTATTCATATATGAGCCCTGGTGGGTAATGGGTACACATTAGGGTGCTGAGAGGTCAGCAGTTCAAAACCACCAGCTACTCTAAAGGCTCAGGGGCTTTCTACTCCCGTAATGAGTTATAGTCTCAGAAATTCACAGGGACAGTTTTAAAGTGTTCTATAGGGTCCTATGAGTTGGCAATGACTCTTTGACAGTGACTTTGGTGTTTGGTATACATATACACACATATGTATATATAATCATATATATCCAGTTGCTGTTTGTGTAGATGCCAACTCATGACACCTTCATGTGTGTCCCAGTGGAATTGTGCTTCATAGGATTTTCAACAGCTGCTTTTTCAGAGTTAGTTCTCCAGGTCCTTTATCTGACACATGCTGGGTTAGGATTGAACCTTTAACTTTGTGGTTAGCAGTTGAGTGCATTAATGGTCTGCAGCACCCATGGGCTCTATTCTTATATATAGCTGACCTTTTAAATGACAACAAAGTCCTATTCCGTGGAAGTCTTGAATTTTAAATGTTTCTGGTTTTCCCCACCAAAGGGAAGGGATCTTCATATGGAAGGGATGAATACAGTCCTCCTAAGCAAGACTGTAGGGCATGAATCCACTGTCAAGATTCTTCCCAGTGTAACACTGTGTACTCCATAGTTATTTACCAAATGGTTAAGAATGCCTGCCTTGGAGAAGATGTCCTGGTTTTCAATTGTCCTGAGCTGCTCTGAGCTCTGAAAAAACAACAAGAAACCAAACCCACTGCCACTGAGTCAATTCCAACTTATAGCACCACCTGCCTCTGCAGTTAAGGCTAAATGATTTTCCTACAAATATCCCCAAGTCGTGAAGGACCATCATGGGGTTCAGTTGTAATACATCCCCTCCCCTGATAGTTGACTTCTTAAACGGGCCCTCTCACACCAAGCAAAGACCTTTTGGGGACAGAATTGACCTAGTCACACTCTAGATTATTCTTCCTAGAGACCCCTCTCACCACCTAGTTAAACTCTACCAATCCATTATGTTGGTTACAGAGCTGGTCGGGCTGCATGGAAAGTTCTATTGACATAGCGGGAACATTTCTCTTCCCAAGACAGGGGGGGTGAGTGCTTTTGTTAGTAATGTGCATTTATGGCTAAAAATGAGAGCTCCCCCCGCACGATGTCATGTGCCATAGAACGCTCCTGATATCCAAGTTCTCCTTCAGGCTCCTAGATTCTTCCTTTTCTCTCTTTTTTTTCATTCTTAGCCTCTTCCTTTTCCTTGTTTTTGTAAAAATATATTTCTTTGTTGCTTTGATAACTACTTTAAGTTCTCTGCCTTCCTTCCTTTCTAGTTCTCCTTTTCCCTTCTCATTTATACATCTGCATTCCTTTGCATTGGAGCCTTAGAGGCACGGTGATTTAGTGCTTCACCGCGAACTGAAACATTGGCGGTTCAAACCCACCAGCTGCTCTGCCAGGAGAAAGCTGTGATAGTCTGCTGGGTAAGGATGGTAGTACTGTATTTTATGGTATTGGACTTGATTTGATGCACACAGCAACATCGTTCCTATGTGAAGAGTCCCCGTGGCCAGCTGAAACCCGAATTTCTAGAAGAGAAATACCTGTTCATCTCCTTCTACAAAGACTACGGCAGAGAGAACCAGATGCCTTTCTGGATGATTTTATTCTGTCTCAAGGGGTCACCATGACTCTTTGGGACCTAACAACCACCACGACAGTATTCCTGTGTGAAGTCCGTCACTCCCCCTTCTGCTCGCCCTCCTTCATCTGCTCTCAGGACCATCTCCTCTGGGGCATCCGTACAGCACCTTCCTCAGCTGAGGCTGAGCCCCACGATGTGGCTTCCAGTTCACCAGGAACAAATCTGTTTGCGCATGTCAGTTCTGAACTCTAGGCTATTTCATGAAATCAATTTTGATGATCCATAGAGGGATTATTAATTTCCAGAATTATTTTCAGTGGTTTAAAAATTCTGGTTAAGACTCCTTCTGCTATCAAGGTCATTGCCAGGCTGCTTCTTCCTGTGGGCCATGTAGCAGTGACCTAAAGAAGACATCCTATTGACAATGTTTGTTATATATGAATCAGGTTACAAAAACAAACAAAAATAAGACCAGGCAATTATGTGATTCATGTTATAGACTGAATTGTGTCCCTCAAAAATATGTTTAAGTCCTCACCTAGGGGTCGTGTGAATGTGGCTGTCTTTAAAAATAGAGCCTTCAAGGAGATTGTCAGTGAACATGACCCTAATCTGATTTCTGTGCTGACCTATAAGAGAGGAGAAGTGATAAAGAAATACAGGCAGGGGAAAGCAGCATGTGGTAATAAACATGCTGCTCATGGAAGCAGCAGGCAAGAGATAAAAAGTTGTATTACATTAGGTAATTCTCCTGCACAAGACTTTTTTAGAGTATTGAAGAAAAAAGATGTTTCTTTGAGGACTAAGGTGTGCCTGACCCAAGCCATGGTATTCTCCGTTGCACGATATGCATGTGAAAGTTGGTCATTGTATAAGGAAGAATGTAAAAAAATAGATGGGTTTGAATTGAGGTGGGAGAAGAATATCGAATGTACCATGAACTGTTAAAAGGACAAATTGATCTGTATTGGAAAAAGTATGACTAGAGTGCGCCTTAGAGCCAAGGATGGCAAGACATCATCTTTTTTACTTTGGACATATGGTCCCGGGAGGACATGCTGTTTGGTAAAGTGGCGGGGCGGTGAAAAAGAAGGTCCTTGGTGAGATGGATTGGCACAGTGGCTGCATCAGTGGCTTGGGCATAGGAACAATTGTGAGGATGGCACAGGACCGTGCAGTGTTTTCTTCTGTTGTGCACAGGGTCACAGCCTACTCAATGGCATCTAACAGCAACAACCATCACAACTGCAGCAGCTGAAAGCCAAGAAAACCCAGGACTACCAAAGCTGAGAGGACATGGTCACATCACACCTGAATTTATGCTTCTAGTTTCCAGACTTTAAGACACTACATTTCTGGTCTTTATGAGCCATTGCATTTGTACATTTTTGTTAGCCCTAGGTCACGATGGTGGCATCGTGGGTTACACATTGACTTGTTAAATGTAAGGTCAGCAGTTCAAAACCACCAGCTGCTCTGCAGGAGAAAGATGAGGTTTCTACTCCCACAAAGAGTTGCAGTCTCAAGAACCCACACAAGTAGTTCTTTTCTGTCCTGGAAGGCTGCTGTGAGTCTGAACCGATGAGACTGAGTTGATGGCAGTGAGTGTAGTTAGAGATTTGTTGCTGTTCTTTAGGTAACTCATACACATTCCAACTTTCAATCCAAGTGATTTTGTGGTTATAGCCTGTTCACATCATTAATGCTATTTATGTAAATATTAAATAATTTGAATTAATAATGAAAAGACACCACTCTTAAAGATCATTAAAGAGCTTAAAGCCTTGAAGATCATTACTGGGTTTTTCAGATAAACCAAACATGTTTTCTCAGCCTGTGAAAAATATGCCTCACACATCTGGAAAAACCTAGTATTTGCTAGAAACATTTTTGAGTAATGATTTCAAAGGGGACAAAACTGCAGGCAGCAGTCAGGTAAGGAGGGCCAGCATAAGATGTACAGTGCTATAGTCAAGGTGGGCTGTTTTCCTGCCATCAATCACAGCAAGATAAAAGCCAGTTCATCTATACAGAATGTGGCTTAGGACATCTGTAGAAGTTTTAATTACTGTTTCATATTTAATACTTCAAATAATCTTCATGAGTAGATGCACAGTAAATGAATAGTTCATTTACTCACCTACTGCCATCGAGTTGATGTCGACCCATTGAGACTGTACAGGACAGGCTAGAACTGCCCCTCTGAGTTTTCAAGACTGTAACTCTTTCTAGGAGTAGAAAACTCCATCTTTCTCCCACATAGCAGCTGGTGGTTTTGAACTGCTGATCTTTAGTACTGCAGCCCGATGGATAACCACTATGTCACCAGGGTCCCTTCATATTCATTCATTTATTATTTTATTTAGAGCTATTTATTTACTAGGTAAGGAGCCCTGGGGGCATCCAAAACCAATCAAACTCACTGTCATCCAGTGGATGCCAGTGACCCTAAGGACAGGACGGAACTGCCCCTGTTCCCTTCATATTTACTACAGCCTTAAGTAATTGTCATGAGTAGATGCACAGGGCTATGAATATTTCATTGAAGCAGCACTGTATATCAGAGAGTCGAAATATCTAATCTAGATATTACAAGTTACAATAACAGCTGTGTACTTATGGAGATTGAAAATCAACACAATCTCACCATCTTGTCCTTTTTAAGTGATTCTATTCCTTTTATGAAATTTTAAGCAAAAAGTATCTTGTACTCTTCTCTGTAGGATATAACAGACTTAAAATGTGATGAGGAAACCACTCAGCGATTCTTTACGCAATGGGAAGAGTCCTTTGTATGGAGACCTACACTTTCATGCAAGTTGAAAGGTCCAGAGAGAACTATGGAGAATATCTGAGCTGGCAAAATGGCACCATCCTCAGAAATCCTTAGATCAGAGCTGGGAGAATTCTAAGGGGGTGAGGAAATATATTCAGAGCAGCCTCAGTATCCCTGGAAGAAATGATGGGTCCAATAAGAAAAGCTCTCTTCAAGACATAGTTTGGTTCAATCCAACTCCAGTTCAAAATAACTTATACAAAATAATAGCTTATACAAAATTTATTTTCTCGCATTCCTGAGGTTCAAAGGTGAATTTTAGGTGTGGTAGGACCATATCCTCTGCAAACAGTTTAGGAACTGATCCGTGTGTGTGTGTGTGTGAGTGTGTGTGTGTGTGTGTGTGAGAGAGAGAGCGAGAGAGAGCGCGCTGCAGCATAATTCTATTGTCACATGCTGTTTCCCCTCTGTCTATGTTTCTGTGCCTCTTCTTTTTTATAAAATATCCTAGTGACGAGATTAAGCTCATGTTCACTGATAACATCTTTTTTTTGCTAATATCTTTTTTTGGGATAACATCTTCTTAAAAAAATAATTTTATTGGAGCTCACACAGCTCTTCTTATAACATCTTTTAAGGACCTATTTTTCTACTCCCATGAACAGTTATAGTCTCAGAAACCCACAGGGGTCGCTATGAGTCAGCATTGACATGATGGCAGTGAGTTTGGAGTTTTAAAAAAATAGTATTTCATTTTCCTTATTCCCTGGGTCTTAGAACTTTCCAGAGGCTTCCAGAAAGGATTAGACTCAGGTAACTGACCCATGTCTGCATTACTTGTTTCAGATATCCCAGCCGAACCCAAGCATTTCTGAAAGACTGACTCTCAAAATGTCACCTGCAGGCATTCTTCTCTCCAGAAAATATGCAAACTATGCAAATTATGCAAACTAGTGCCACTGGAGCATGCTTCATTTACTGTCAGTGGTTAAGTGGACAGTGTTGGGGTATTTCATTCCATCTGTGATAGGAAGGTTTATTGTGCCAACCTGGCCAATAAACACATGTGGGATTAATAAGGTCGCAGTTTAAATGAGGGGCAAAGAGATAAATGACCTGGAGAGCCTTTCCTTTCTGTCTCTTGGTCTCTGATGATTAGACCAGTGTGCGGCTGCCTTAGATAGTTCTCTGCCTCAACTTGTGAGCTACACTGCCTGTAGGACACCCAATCCATGGACCGCATTGCTATAGTTTGAGGTTCTTTTGAGAACTGCTTCACCACACTGCTGGTGTATACATCACTTGAGCTGGGGACTGTCGGACCTTGTCATCTGGCTGACTGTTGGTGACCTGCCCTGCTGTTTGCTGCCTATTGCCGGACTGCCTGTATTGCTCTACGGAAGACTCAACTGTCTGCTTCCTTGACTTGCACCCAGCAGCCCTTGTGAGTTGAAGGACTGCCAGTGTATTAACTGTCTCCTGGAAGTGAGTTGAACTGAGCCATTTGTACTGCTCTGTGGACTAATTAGCTGTTTTATCTATCTATCTATCTATCTATCTATCTATCTATCTATCTATCTATCTATCATCTATCTATCTATCTATCATCTATCTATCACCTACTTATAATCATAAGTGTCCTGGTTTTGTTTCCTAAAGAACCCTGTATAACACACCATCTTACATTTATGGTTGTCATTAGGATTGCCTGAGTGTTCATGCAATAGAAATGCCACTGGCTTGCTCTCAGAGCTAGTTGCCTACCTGTGGAATGGCTGTAGCTGGTTTACTATGCATGACCGTGTACCAAAAGAAGTTTGAGTTATGTTTACGTGTATGATTTTTGTGTCTCTTTTAAACAGCTCATGGATATAAAGGGTATAGTTGACAATGTTGCCATTTGTCTTCACTGGAGGGTCCCAAGTCACTAAGATCTCCTGAGGATCCTTGGGCTTCAGCTTTGGAGGTTCCATCCCTGAGGGTGCTGAGGGGCTGGTTCGAGCTTTAATAAGTGGGCTCAAAATGCCACCCTGGCTGTTGTTGGCAGTCACTGTGTAGCCGTACTCCACACCTGGTGTGAGAGTAAAATCATGATAGCGACTTTCCAGTCCAGTGTATACTATAGCTCCATCTCTCCTAAGTTCGTAACTTCTGATTCGGCCATTTGGGTTTCTTGGAGATTTCCAGGTGATTTCTATTGATGCTGAGCCCGTGACTTGCAATATTGGAGCCTCTATGTTCTGTGGTGGGGCCTCCAATGTCCAGGCAGACATGGACACACTAGCCGTGCAACCTCCATTGGTGCAGGCCACTAGGGAAAAGTTATATTGAGTGCAAGGCTGCAGGTCAGAAACCAGCGTGGAGTGGCCCTGCCCAGCCTGATACTCCTTACCATTGGATCGAAGCAGATATTTAGTGATCTTTCCATTTAGATCTGACGGCGGTAGCCAAGATATATTAATTTGAGAGGCACTGATGACCCAGAGAGCCGGAGGACTGACCCCTTCTGGAGCAGCCTCTGGAGTTTGGAGGTTGGCGGGCTTGCTGATGGAGCAGCCTCCACTTGTGCAGGCCATGACCGCATAACTATATGTAGAAAATGGAAGTAGTTCTCCATCGGTGTAATTGAAAGTCCCAGCATCAAAGCTGCAAGGATGGAGCATGCCGTTTTTTCTAAGCCTGTAGGACTGGATGACACCATTAGACTGCTCTGGTGGGCTCCAGGAAACCAGCAGTCGTCGGGGATGCACAGACATGTAGGAGATCTCAGGTGGGGAGAGGCCTTGTGGGGCTGCTGGCTTTGTGCTGACTGCAGTCCAGGAGCTCAAGCTATGGCCTGCTGAATTCCAAGTGTTGATTCTGTATTCATACCGCGTCCATGGCTGCAAAGCAGTGTCATTATACATAAATGTGCCCCTTTCAGTATTATATTCTGTGAAAACAGTTTTCTCATCTGCTTGGATTGTTTGGTTCCTCCAACCTTTTCCCTCGAAGCATCTGCGAATCACTTCATAGCGGATTATCTTTCCATTTGTGTCAACTGGCTCAGACCAGCTCAGTTCAACGCTCGTGGGCCCCACAGACTGAATGGTGGGAGCGAACTGAGAGTTGGGAGGGGCCTCATCTGTCCACAGAGGCTGGGGGGCTGAGTGTGCGCAGCCCGCGCTGGTGCAGGCCTCCAAAGTCAGTGTATAGAGAGTGAAGGGGTGCAGGCGACGAAGGAGATACTGACAGTTCAACCCCGCGTACTTGAGGGTACCATCGCTGAAGATGTTATATTCCTGAAAGAAGAGAAGCAAAAAGAATGATTGGAACCATAGACCTTCCTGGTGTCGGCGAACCCTTCCCCCGTACTTATGCCTACTCTTGGGGACCCTAGTCCAGAAGACCCTTCTGAGATGAATTTTGGTCGTGTGATTTTTGCAAATTCATTAAGATCTGCAGAAAGAGGAAACATACTTTGCTTCACTTCCTCCCTCCCTCCTTTCCCCCCTTTTCCCCTTTGTCTCTCCTCCCTCCCTCTCTTCCCTTCCTGCCTCTTTCTTTGTAAATCCCTCCCTCCCAAGTCTTTCTCTAACTTGGGTAATAAAGCAATTTTATAAAAACTAAGGGTTATGGATCCCAATTCTTTTTTTCAATTCTTGAACTTAACAGTGTTCATGGGGTTTCCTCTCATCTTATTTTTTTTTAAAGTAAGGAATAGAAATAAAATCCCTGATTTTATGTGTTTGAGCTCATCACAAATAGGACCTATGTAGCTTGTCCATTTCCCTCAACAATAGCTTGGGAATAGGATTATAGTGTTTAATCTTTTGTAATAAGGTACCAGGGTTGAAAACCTACCCCTTTGTGTGCAAACATTACATGTATGTAAATACATAAAGAAGTATAAAATTTATCATATAAATTGTCATATAATATTTAGAAATTCATGTAGAAATCAAATGTACTTTATAAATAAAGTTATCTATAAGTAAAATTTATAAACATGAATACACTCAATTATATGGTAATATATATTATAACTATTGTTATCTGAGTATATAATGTAAACTTTGATTACTCAAAGATGAAACAAATAGGTAAACAAGACTACCTGGTTTTCTCTTATAAGCCAGGGGAGAAGTGATTGTCCCTTTGGGGCAAAGTGTTCCTTTGTTCTGGTGAAAACGGGGAAGAAACGTAACTTGAATGCCGACGTTTGTGAACGGCCTGCCTCTCTTTTCCTGAGAAACCTGACCCACTCGAGGACGCAGCAGTGACTCCCCGAGCACAGCCTGGATTCTCCAGGGAGGCCCAGACACAAGACAGACCCTCTGCGGGAGCACACGGGTTTGAAACATCCAACAAGCAGTTTCTGGAGAAGCATAAACTTGACTATACCTCTTGTTGACATGCTTTAGTGTCAATGAAGATCAAGCAGCCTGAAGTTTGGGAAACTTACTGACCTGCATTGTCCTTTTCCTGGTGGAGAGCCCAGGGCGAGGCCTCACCCTGGGGGAAAGGGAACTAGGAAGGGTCTCTTCTGAAAGGAGTTCATGTTTTACAATCAAATATCACGCTTCTGTAACTAAGTCCCTCCCTCCTCCCCACTTTCTGCCAACGATTTTCATCTGACAAATCTCTAACTTGTGTTCGATCCAGCTCTCTAGCGGTACCCAGTTCTTAACTGGTTTGGAGAAAATATATAACCAGGCTGACTTACCTCATTTTAAATTTCTTACCATAAATATTAAATAAATGATTATCAACTTGTATTCCTACTCTATCCCCCCATTCAGACATCCTGTCTCATTTGCCAAAGTAATTATTTCATGCCTTTTGTTTTTGTCCCTCCAATACCTTCTAGTTGATTCTCTTCCTACTATTTAATTGGTTGGCGACATAGTCACATATTTATTTTAGGAAATGGAAGCAATATATGAAGCCTCCCCTCAGAGCTTATCACCTTTATTCATGCATGTACTAAGACATTTGGTCTATCTCAAAGAGCAGGTTTAACCACTGTCTGAATCATGAACAATAACCTCTGAACCACTGGATTTTGATGGGAACACCTTTGTTATTCATGGTGGACCTTTTGGGACACACCAAATAGTTTGTGGTCATGAGATGACTGAGGGTGGGGTTAACCACATTCCATAGTTATAAATTGGGGGCTGACCTGACAGGAAAAACAACCATGTGTTTAGGGGTTAGGATATTTTAGATTTACCTTGGAGGATTGGAACTGTAGATTGAGTTCTGTCAGGTGGTTAGTGAATCAATCATGTTGTGATGGTTAGGGCTATCAACTTGATTTGCTCATGATTCTCAATGCTATGTATTATGGAGGCAAATAAGAGTATGGTGGAAAACAGGAGATCACTTAGGATGGATCTTAGTAGTACCTGATCTTATAATTAAAGTCAATGAAAAACTATAGCGCCCCAATTCTAACATAACTAGAGAAACTCAGAGCGCATGTAAAGCTATTCTACTTATAGTCACCTTTATTACTGAGGAAGGATACACATCAGAACCAGGCAAAGCTAGAGAAGGCACCCAGGGGAGAGTTTGTGAAGGTTCTAAATGCAAAGCTTGTGTTGTCTTGAGGATGTGTTACCTTCCCTGTATGTATAGGTAACAAAATACATATATACAGTGTTGTAAACCCAGGAAGCTCACACACTTTAATTTTATTGAGCTTTTATTTAGAAGGTGTGTTTTGGGGGCTAGGTTATCCAGAAAGAGAGAGAGAGATTGAGATTTATTTGAAAGAAATGGCTCAAATAGTTGTGGAGACTGAAGTCTCAAATCCATGAGTCAGGCATCAATTTGGAGGCTTCTCCAGACTCACATGGTTGGAGGAACTGACAAAACCCAAATCAGCATATCATGGGGCAGTCTACCGACTCACATGCCAGGGTCTGGAGATCCCCGGCTGATGAGTCATGTGCAGGATCAAGAAGGGGTGAGTTTTGCCGGATCATCCCGAGGTACTGAACGGAGACCACACCAGCAAGGATACTGTACTTAGATCATACAATACAGGCTAACTACTTAATATTGAGAATCATGACCAAGCCAAGTTGACACAGACCATCAACCATCACAGTCTACCCTTTCTCACATCAGCCCCTTTATAACTTTATAAAGTCATACTTCCCCCGAACACGGGACACCTAACATGCATGCAACGAAAACTGCACTAGCCCCATTTACAGCTTATGTTTTTTTCCCTTTCTGACTATATACGTATATATGGCTTGAAAAAAGAAGATCCACTGCTGGGAGATTGATCTGATATTTTTTACTAAACTCATAGTTAGAATGCATAATCTGTGATTCTAAACTATTATCCAGTTTCAGTTTCTTTCTTTCATTTTAAAAAAAATCAGTTTACTGGGGCCCTTCCAGCTCTTCTCACAATCCATCCATCCATCCATCCACTGTGTCAAGCGCATTTGTACATATGTTGCCATTATCATTTTCAAAACATTTTTTTATACTTGAGCCCTTGGTATCAGCTCCTCATTTTTTATCTCCCTCCCCATCTTATGTTTTTTTCTAAAGGAATAGCATAAGGATGGGAAAACACACACACACACACGTGTGTGTGTCTGTGTATATACATATATATATATGTATATATATATAAACAAAACTAGGACACACACTCATATATATATATGTGTGCGTGTGTGTGTATGTAAACAAAACTAGGACAACCCCCAAACAATGGCAGTCCTCATTTCTGCAACTGGTCAAGTGGTGGGATCTGAGATTCAGAACTATGGTCTCATACCACACCCCTCTCCCTATTCCTTTTGTCTTCAGAAAGCACCCCAGCTGGCTGTTGTACTGTGCCTCATGGGGGCAACCAAATCCAGATGTTACACCACTGCTCTCACGTCACTTGATTGCTCAGCAGCCTTTAGCAGGTTTTCTCTTCCCATTCACTGCTTTTCCTTCTACCTCACTGGCTCTTCTCAGTTCCCTTTGTGGACTCTTCTTTGTGCTGACCACCCAATTTTAGTGTGCCAATGGTTGGAGCTTCGATTTTCATCATCTTTATTCACACCCAGTTGAGAGATGATCTCCTCCAACCCTGGGGGCTTAAAAGCTACCTATCTATTAATGTTTTCCAAATATATATTTCAGTGAAGAACTCTTGGTAGAATTCTAGATTTATAACAGCAGGTGGCTAGTTGCCTGCTCAGCCTGACCATCTCCCAGGCTTCCTCTCCAGGCCCCAATTCAGAAATCACCCCGAAGGGCTCCATTTCCTTCCTGATTCACAGGTCATTAGCATGCTAGTCAGCTCTACCTCCCAATAATATCTCCATCCTCCTATAGTTCTCCACCTCCACACATTTTACCCCAGTTCAAGCCACCGTCATTTTTTCTCTGAAAATTTTCAATAACTTCTAAACTCTAATCGTCCTTATGGTCTATTTTTCACATACTGTCCAGATTGGTTTTTAAAATCGGAAATTCGACCATGTCATTTACTGAAAGTCTTCAGTAATTTTTTCTTGCATTTAGAATAAATTGTGACATCCTTAACACAACCCATCAAGGTGGGACCAAGTCTGTCTTTTGTCAATATTCTCCCAGCTCTTCGGGTGCCATCTCTGCCGCTCTCCAAAATCTTTATCCACACAGGCTTTCTTTCCTTTCCTGGAATATACCAAGTTCATTTCTGGCTTCAGGCCTTTAATTTGTTGTTCATTTTGTCTGGAACATTTTGCCCCCATATCTCCACATGACTGATTCTGTCTTGTCGTTCAGGGCTTGGCTCAGATGTCAACTCAATTCAAATGATCATCCATTCTAAAATAGCCTGAGCCAGACATAATTGCATTACCCTGTTTAATTTTTTTGTAGCATTCATCTGAAATTCCCTTGTTTACTTATTTACTAGCTACTGCGTGCCTCTCTGAACTGCCACTATTTATACACTTCCACACAGTCACTCACACATGCATGCACACATGTAAGGTCTACAGAAGCAGGAATGTAGCCTGTCTTGTTCACTCCTGAATCAGTACTTGACATGTAGTAAGAGCTCAATAAATATTTGGTGAAATGTAAATGAAGGTAAAAGGAATATATATATCAAATGTCAATCATGCTGGGACAAGGCAATCACTAGGACAGGAAACAAATAAGGAGGAGTGGTGTTTTGATGGATGTAAAGAAAGAGACTGTTTTCTCATGTGCTCCTTAAGGCTGTTGCATAGATTTTCAGGTCATAGAGCCCAAGGCCCACCCCTCCTGCCTTACCGTCGGGGCTGCTTGGCTTTGTCACATGAAGGCAGCTGGTGGGGAGAGACTTGTTCCTGCTGCACACAGCAGGCCTGGAGGTAGGCAGAAAAGCAGCTATTGCACTAAGCAGGGCGGCAGCCTGCAAGGAGAGCCATGGGGGTGGGCCTGAGCTGGTGACAGTTCTGAGTTATTGCCACATGGGATTTCTTTCTGCCACCCCCCTTATGAGACTTTCATGGAACTTATTAAAAGTTACAGCTAAATGCATTTAAACTGTGTTTAGAATAAACGCGGTACTCTTTCCCACTCGAGGAGTAATGAAGATATGCAGAGGGTTTTCACTGGCTGGTTTTTAGAAGCAGATTATCAAGTTCCCTTCCTCCTCTGCGTTTTTCTGGAAGATCACTAAAACTTGTTTAGCATCATGGCAACCAGCAAGCCACCACAGACAGATGTGAGGTGACTGCACACAAAGTGCACTGGCCAGGCAACAAGCCCAGGTCTTCTCCATGGAGGGGGAAGATTCTCCCGGTGGACCACAGCTCGCAGATTTTCATGAGTGACGAACTGACACAGTGGCAGTTAATAACGATAGGTAAGTGGAAGGCCGGGTGTTGATAGCAGCTGTAGGTCGGGGTGGACCTAAGCTCAGGTCCAGAGTCAGAGGAGGCTGCAGGTAAAGGAAGTGACATTGCCAGGCCAGTCAACTCACACTCAAGGAGGACCTTCAGGAAGGAGACAACGTCTTACTTTCATGTAGGCAAGGGCTCAGAGCATCAAGATGTGGTCCATTAGTAGAAATGCTTCTTGATTTGTGCTCACCGGCTGGTAAAGCTCAGAGGAGATGTGTGCTATTTATAAGATCATTTCTAGTGACTGTATATAGAAGTTTCAGACAAGTACGCCTTCTTGCCTTTTACGTAGTGATCTATTTGCAAAGTGCAAATCGGGTAAGGCTTAAGCAAATAACTGGGTAGGATGATTCAGGAGGCAGGCAGACCACAGTCATTTCAGCTCAGATCTGACTTCCTGGCTTCAAATTCTAACTTGGCCGCTTGTACCTATCTAGCAGCTCTATAGGCAAAAGAACTGGCAATCTGCTCATAAATATCACAGCTGAGTCAACCCTATGGGAAGTTCTATTCTGCTACATAGGGTCCCTATGAGCGGACAAGAGACTGGATGGTACCTAACAACAACATGCCTGGTGGGTCTAGTAGGGTTGACTAAGTAAAATAGTCATGGAAAGCGTGTAGCTGAATAGTGGGTTTCCTGGATGCGTAATACATGGGAACTAGTTTTTCTATGATGAAGGGCCTGGAGGAAGCACTGCGTCTAAGTATACAGGGGTTCAAAGGTGTCCTGCGGTGATCTGATGGTGTCTCAGAGCTCATCTCTTTAACAGGATAACCATAAGCATGTGTTCATATGGAAAGTAGACATTACCTTAATGACACCATTGTTTCTTGCAGGCTCTGACCACTGGAGTAGCAACGCTCGTCCATTCTCTTTCTGTTCTACTGTAAAGTTGCTCAGCCCACTCGGGGAAGATTCTAAGGTCTGAACCAGAGTCCAGGGACTTGCAACTTCTCCTGCTTGGTTGGCAGCCACAACACCGATGTGATAAGTTGTGAATGGTTCTAACCCGAACAGGTGGGATTGAAATCTTGTTCCCTGTAAGAAAATTGACAGGTTAACTTTCTTTTAGAACTTGTCAATAATTCTTGGAAGGTCATTCACAGTAGCAAAAGTATTATAGCAGTTTTTCAATTGTCATTAAGAAAATAATGCTGTTTTTACTGATACTCAGAATGTATTACCTCATGGTGTGTGATTTACTATCCAAAGAATATGGGTTGGATAGAATCCTTGATTTTTGAGAGCTTGCAACACAGACATGAGACATAAGAAAAAACAAACAAGTCTCTGTTGACTCTAATCAATGCTGCAACCAACTCTTGGTGGCAATCTTTGGCAAGAAGTTGCATAGCAGAGACTACTATAATTGCCCACCTGGCTAATCTTAAGAGTTGGGAGATTCATCCAGAATGACCATAATTCTCTTTTATTAATCCCCAACACAATTTGTTTATAAATAAGCCCTTCTTCATCTCTCAAATTCTCTCTCATTTTTCTCGGTGTGCAGTTTTATTTCACAAATGCAAACAAGATAACAAGCACAAGAGAATAACAATGATGAACTGAAGTATAGATGCAAAAAGCGCTTCAGAATTTCCTACTTTCATACATGTAAACATAGTCAAAGCAACAAAACTAAAACTATGACATTTACCAAAACCAATCATGTCTTGAACTTTGAGAATTTGATCTTTGTTGATTTAAATGAAATGGAGAGGAGGGGAAAAAAGATACAAAAAACACACTGCTGTTGAGGTGAGTCCAACTCAAGGTGACTCAATAGAACCATCTAGAATGGCTCCATAGTGTTTCCTATGGAAGTAAGCTGCCTCCTCTTTCTCTCCAGGAGCAGTGGGCAGGTTTGAACCATGGTCAGTTAGCAGCCAAACACTTCATCGCTGTGCCACCAGGACTCTTAAAAAAAAATAGCCTATTGGATTTTTTCCCCTCTGCTTGAAGAATGACATTTAGCATATTTTGTATATCTAATCTGGAGCTAAGAATTCTAATGCTTTGAAAGGCCCCAGGGTGCTCTTTCCACATCTGGGCTGGAGGAATATACCTGTTTACAGATAGGAATTATGTCTGCAAGTGGACCAATAACACGTCCATAACTAAACAAACACATAAATATACAGACACAGAAGAGGCACCTTTTGTTACATGCCTTACACATTGGATGTGGCTAGTTGCGAGGATGCTTTGACGAGTTTAATAAGATATTTCCATTTAATGGTGTGTGAGATCAGCTTTGTTTATTAGATGCTTAAATATGATAGATGGCTTTTAATTGTCCCTTTTTCTTGATGGGCAGGGGAGGGGGAATGTGAGGTGGGGAAGAGGGAGTTATTTTCTGAGAGCAGTTACCAAGACCATCAGATAAAGTTATATGCAAGGGACTGTTCCTTAATTAGGGGACAGTGAAATATCATTTTTAATAAAATCCAATACAAAGTGATAGAACCAAGGAAACTATTTCTCGAACAATCTGGTCAGACAGAAGCCAAAGCACACCATAGAAAGATTTTTTGACTCTCTGTCCTTAGAGTCTTGGCTATAATTTTCAACCGTGTTAATGTTTATTATTATGTGTTAAACATGGGCAGAGAAAAATACAATTTCCTTCACCTATCAAAAACTTGTGAAGTCAATTTTCCTGTTTCAATAAGTCCCATTATGATATTACATGCTAACCTCTTGAAATCTTTTAATATTTAAACATTTGCTAAGTGACCAGACTCTGAAACACATTTTACAGAAATACTAATTTCTCTTTTTTAAAATATTAAAAGTTAGATCATAAATATTTAAAACTTATTTCCCCACAACATTGGATTGGTCTTTTAGATAAATATAGCACGGAACCAGGGGGATCATAATGAATATTAAATCTGAAGATGCTACAAGTTCCGATTACAAACATTCTTTTCCGATAAATGATTTCTTTTCTGTGGAAATAGGGCAAACATGGGCAAGATTAATAATGCAAAAAAGAATAATTCTTTGTTCAGAATACCCAGTAATAGATGCCAAAAACGCATACGCTCCAAAGCAAATAGTAATCACCTCTAACAGATTATATGTAAAAAAGGTAGGCTGTTGGGGGACATTTAGAGATCGCTTTTGTCAGGAGAAACATGAAAAGCATGTGGGCTATAAAGCAAAAACATATGTATATTGTCAATAGCAGCACCTGCTCAATTACAGTTTATTTCAGGGTTGAGAATTCCATTCAGCCCCTAGATGGCAATACTATCAAACATTTTTGGTAACATGAGTGCTTAATGATTAACAACCGGCATTCAGTCATCCAACACACTCCAGGCAACCATTAAAAAAATAACAAAACTGATTTCATTATAGATTCTTTTAATAAACATTTATGGCTCAGATCCTTGAAAGCAGAAGTTTTCAAAATGCCCCGGCCTCCAAACCTCTGCCATCTAATGCAGAAAGATGACCTGCAGGGCTGACGATGAAGTCTGCCTTCCTGACATAGAAACGGCTGTAAGGTGTGTTTCTTATGACAGATGATTAAAATAGTTGTTTTCTTAACCCAGTCCTGTATTTTATCATGAAAAAAGAAAAATAACCATATACAGATATATAAAGGAGAATGTATCCTAAATTTACACAGAGGAACCATTCCCATATTATAGTAATTGCCTATTTCTAAAGAACTACGCCAAAACTTCTACACATGTAAACACACACCTTTTAAATAAGTAAATCTCACTAATAGGCAGCCTTTTTCTGAATCTTCAGTAAAGATAATATATCTATGTATTTTTTAAGTGACAGAATAATAATAATAATAATAATAAAAGACAAAACAGCCCTTCACACCCGTAGGAAAAAAAATTAAACCATTCTTTATTGAATATGTCAACAACACTAAAATTTACAATTACAGGCTTTAGAATTCCGTTGCACATTTGGGCAGAGTCCCATTCTGGGGAATTAATTTGGGTTGTGTCTTGTTTATTTTGCTTAAGCTATTTGCTATGTTCTTTAAATTTTGAATATTTTTTCCCCTGGCAGACTGTGGTTACAAATTTAAATGTTTTGTGTAATTTCTCCCTTTGGAGATGTAACATTCTGTTCCACTGACTAGGAAAATCCATCACGGAAAGTAATTTTCCCTCCCCTCATTTTCATCGGTTTCACCTTTCTTTCTTCTCCTTCTGCCCCTGGCTCCTTCCGCAACTCCTTTGTCCTCCTTCCGCCACGCACGTTCCTTTATGGAGCCGATACTAAACACTAACTCTAATCTCTGCCTCTTCTTTATCATTATACGACTGTTGCCCTTCATTCTTCCGGCCTACCAGTTTCTTTGGAGCAGTTCACTGCTGTGACTGTCCTTGCCGGCCTGTTGCTGGTGTCGGGTGCCACTGAGCCAGTTCCGACTCGTAGGCACCCGGCTGTACCCCAGAAACAAAGACCTTGTGGCCCTGGGCCCCCCTCACAATTGTGCTTCTGTTTGAGCCCACTGCTGCTATCTAGTTGCACTTGTTTCCCTTTTGTCTCGGTCGACTCCATGGGCATATTCAATATTGCATTCAGATTTTTGATTCTAGAAGCAGATTTGATAAATTCGTTAAGCAGCAAATTATTCAAAAGAGAATGATGCAACAGAGGAAAGCAGAAAGAAACGTTTTGGGGGTGGGGTGGGGCGGGTAGGAGATTATCCATTCTCTGAAATTTTATTTTTCCAGTGAGGCTTAGCTTTTCTCTCACACTTAATGTAAATGCATCAGGGGTTCAGGGGCTGGATACAAATCAATGCACCGTGTTATGAGGCATGAAGACAAGACTCCGGGACACTCTGCCGGTTGAGGTTCTGCTGGCAACTTGAACTGCATTTTAACCTCTCCACTTTGCTCCTGGGACACACGAAACTATTTGGAATCTTCAGCAATCTGACAATTTTACACCGTCTTCTCTGATTATTTTTGATGACTTGAAGTGCCCCAAAGGTGGCTAGGGGGTCAATAGGTTTATGTAGGTTGAAAATGATCAAAAATTAGCATTGATCTGTAGCTGTCAATAAAAGGAGGTGTGGGGAGATTCCCTACACAAATATTTAAGCTGCATAAAGCTACCTAACTTAGTCATCTTTGAATCTATTGATCTCATGATCCAGCACTTTCCAAAGGTTTCCCTTTGGCCTTTGTGGTGCATTTTCCCTCAGCCCAATAGTTACCCTCAGGAATCTATTCATTCTGCTCCAGCGTGTAAACTAACTTCCCTGTGATAGAAACAAGGTCAAAAATCACGTGATAGAATTTCACAAGACCTATGACTTGACCATTGGAAATAACTTTTTTCAACAACATAAATGGCGCTTAGTCTCGTGGCTCTCACTAGGGATGAATTACATTTTTATCAGCTGTAATCATCAGTGTGGCTGGATTTTATGCCTGATTCATTTCAGAGTGCAGAACTTGGTAAAAATCTTCAGGTCTTCTTTGGCTCAGTGTTTGGTGTTAATTGGAATAATTGTCGTATCAATTGGTCTTTCTTACAGGTATATGGATAGTGTTGCTTTTCAACATTGAGATGGAAATGTTCTTTTTAGATGATGAAATTCTTCTCAATTTGTCATTCCCAAGATAAGAAATCATATGATTACTAACTTAAAAAATGACCCAAAGCAGCTTATTTTACTAATGGTATTGATATTCAAGCATCCCACATCATTTTTGATAAATTTATTTTTTCTACACTTATACTTTTTACATATATTTTTCTGGTTGCTAATTGATATTTTAAACGGTTTCTTCTCATTTTGACTAGTGCCACATCAGGAAATAAAGTCTAACAAAGTGATTAGGTCCACTCGACTGTGAGGAGATACTTTTTCTCACGCTGTGTTTCTAGGGCCTTTCAACACAAGGGACGTATACTCCAGTACTCTATCAGAAAATGTTCCCTTGTTACTTACAAGGCTGTCACTGGTAACAATTTCAGAAGTAGACTGCCAGGTTTTTCTCCTTAGTCTGTCTACCTGGAAGCTCTGCTGAAAGCTACCCACG